CCGTTACCTAAGGCCTCACAGCTAGGTTGAGTTAGATTTAAACCTATATCTGGATGACTGTAAGACCTGTGCTCTTCACCACATGCTAATGAAATAAGCTAAAGCATTTGTTGTCACCCAGATGATACTTATCTATTAGACCGTGGGAGTGAAACTGGGTCTTGAGAGCAGAGAAGTGTGAGGGAGCCACAGAGGAGAGGCCACGAGTGGGAGGAGAGTTTTAGCTAGGTGCCTGGGCAGAGAGGCAGCTAAGTAAGATGTGACTTCTTAAGCTTGATAAACGACTTCATTGATTTTAGTGTACCTAGATATGCATAATACAGGCCTTGTAAATCATCCCTGATAGTGGCAAAGCTATCACACTTGTTGCACGGGTGAATAAAGATGTGGAACCACAGATGGCTGTGGCGGTCATTTACTAGAGGACTAGAGAAGTCACATGATCTGAGAACCCTGGCAGAGAAAGAACCCCACATTCTTTTGGGTCTGGAAGGAGTGGGGGAGAGAGAGACTTGTGCAATTGTGTAGGTGGCTGTTTAAACAAGATGAGAATAGACAACAACATGAACATCTGCAACACAGGATGTTGGAAGAAAGACAGTAGTGTTCACACACAGAGACACACACATGCATGTATCAGCTAACATCCCACAAGGGTGTGACGTCATAAGAACAGCTTGCAGGAATGGGGCAGGTGAATGAAGCTGCTAGGGGACTGCCATCCAGTCTCCCCAGTTGTGAAATGTTTGCTTTCTCAAGACAAGTGAGAACGTTCTTATGGTACACAAACGGCAGTTTGCATGTCACTTTCGTCAGAGGATGGAAACTCTTGCTCATGCACCAAGCAAGAGTCATCAATTAACAGCTGTGGGCAGCAGAAATGACCTGTTCCTGAGCATTCCTGCTGAGCTCTGGGGAGTGCTTTTACTAAACTCCAGTTGATGCTGACTTGAGTGTGGCTTCTTGCTCTGCCTAATCTCAGGTTCAAAACAACCCACCTCGACTCAGCAGCAGTGGGTTAACAATGGCAAACACTTGGAATAAGCCCAGCCAATAGCAATGCCCTAATTCTTGACAAAGGCTCTCCCACCTGCTGATGTCAGTGCAGGTGAGAAGAGAGGGGCCCTGTGTGCAATAGGCCTTCATACTCTTGTGCTCACTCACTCCATCTCGCTTCATCCTAGGCTGGGTATGAGCTCCTTGATGCTGTCCCTGCTGAAAGCCGTTTCACAGTCACTACACTTGCCTCTGAAGATACACCCTTTTTTATCTCAGTTCCTCTGCCACAATAAAAATGCTACTAGAAATTGGTGTTTCTGTACAAGTCTTACAAAATAGATTATTTAAATCAATCCCTGTTTCTTGAAACTTACGCAATGATTTCCTAACTTTGTTTTTCTGAACTATGCTGCAACTGTTGTCAATGTTTGTTTCACTACACTTTCTGGCTCATTTTCCCTTCTGTTCTTTCCACTCTTTATTTGTGTTTCAGGCATTGGATTTTGCTTCTAATAGCAACAGTGGCCTCAGATTTCTCCTCTGTATTTTGAGTAATTCCCCACAACAGAGTTCTTATTTCTCACCCCAAAGCATGTCTGCTTTCCTACGCAGGCCAAGTGACAAAACTGTCACATTTCCAGTCCAAATGAAACAACATGACACCTGCCACATAGACCCTTTGTGTCTATACTGTCATTGCAACATAAGGAAGTGATGCTATTGGCAGAACTGCAAGCAGAAGCAAGTCCTGGTGAGAGTGAGGGACGAGAGCAGTTGCACCCACTGCTGGCAGGATGCAAACTGGTACAACTAATTTGGACAAGCAATTTCACTTTTTTTTTTGTGAAGATAAAGATGTACTTAACCTATGAACAACAATTCCCCTCATGGGTGTACACCCTAAAGAAATGGGCCCCGTTGAAGCAGAGGGTAAATGCATCATGTTGTCTCAGACCAGAGTAAGGCCCAAGAATGGGAATAATCTACTTTTCTTACAGGTCTACAGAAGATACTCCAGTGCAGGATGCACAGAGTCCATCTCTATGTAGCTTGGCTTTGTTTCTGAGACTGTGCCAGGGTTCTCTCTCTGTCTTAGGTATACACTGGCCCTGCCAGAACTGGCTGTTCAGGGACAGACATCCCCTGGCTAACCAAGAGGTGCATTAATCGAAAGAGCAGGAGGGAGAGGCTCAGGAGTGGTTTTTATTCCCACGGCTGGAACTCTGCTCCTTCTGTCTCAAGCCATGTATCCTTCCATTTCTCTCTCCTCTCCTCTTTTTTGGTCCCCACAGTTGTCAACATTGCCTGCAGGTGATGAGTGCTATTCTGGCTTCCTTTTCTATAAAAGGTGGTGATGCTATTACCCGTAGAGAGTTACTTATCCTTAACCTTCTTTGACTTTAAAAGAGAGAGGGACCATTTTACATGGTTCATGTGACTAGAAAGTATTTAAGCCATTATCTGGACTCAGCAGTTACTCTGTAAACCACAGGCATATGCATACAAGGATGGGGGCATGCCAGATCCTGGGGTATTCTTAAGTGCTATGAGCAGCCTTTCCACTCGGGGCACTGAGAGCCAGTGACACCCTAAGAAGAAAGCCATCACAGGTATTAATCACTCCACCAAGTGAATCAGTGTGGGTGAGAGAGAACACTTAATGAGTATAACTGAGGAGATGGCAAAATGGATTGTTTTGATAAAAATAAAAGAACAGGGGCTGCTCCTATGGCATAGTAGTTTAAACTGCCTGTGGTGCCAACTATCCCATACAGGTGCCAGGTGCTCTACTTCTAATTTAGCTCCCTGCTAATGACCTGGGAAAACAGAAGAGGATCCCTCAGATACTTGGACCCCTGCACCCACGTGGGAGATCAAGAAGCTTCTGGCTCCTGGCCATTTGGAGGGAGTGATCCAGTGGATGGAAGATCTCTCTTTGTTTTGTCCTCTCTCTCTGAACCTCTACCTTACAACATCTCTGTTTGTCTTTCCCTCTCTCTCTGAACCTCTGCCTTACAAATAAATAAGTCATTTTCTAAAATGAAAAGAACATAAAGAAAATAAAATGAAGAAGGGAGTAACCACATTTCTGCTTCACTTCTGTTTGATTTCAACTCAGGAAAGGATAATTAGAAGGTTGGGACAGAGCATTATCTTTTTTGGTGTATGTGTGTGTGTGTGTGTGGGGGGGGACTTTGAATTTAACTCCTGAGGTAAAAAAATAAAACACAAAAACCAAAAATAAAAACCCCTTTGTGTGAATTACTCTATCAAAAGTCAATTTCAGGGATCCCTCAAATGACGGTGCTCTGGCATGTCTGCACATGACAAGCTCCTTTTTAATCTAAATACTAACGTTTGAGTGCACAGGTTTCAGGCGCCCTGTGCCGACGGGTGATAGCATGAGGAAGAGCCAATGGATCTCAGGATAGCAGGCGTGCCACTGCCTCCTCAAGGCCATAAGAGACAGTCCTGAAAATCCTAACATTTTAGGAAAAATCCTTTGGGCCTCAAAGCGGATAAGGAGCAGGTGGGTACCATGATTTTCCCTATGGCTATCTTCTGGGGTGTCCTGGATTCTGTCCTGTCTCCTCCAAAGGGCGGAGTGAGCTGCCTACAGGCCCTCTCCTCTGCACTTCAGGACAAAGGGCTTCAGAGACCTTTCAAGCTGATGCTGGATGCCGTGGGACCGGGCCCCCATCTTGGCACCTTGGCCTTTTTCTCAGTCTTGGATGAGGGCAGGGGACTCTGTACCCAGGTCAGATGCTGACCCTGTGGGTCGAACTGGACATCCTGGAAGGGTGTGGCTTTTTCCATGGTACTCCTTCTTGCTGACCATCTCCCTACTGACCTCTCTCTCTATGCCCACTACTGTGTTTGCTGCAAAGAATTTCTATGCTCAATGATGAAAAGGAGTAGAGAACAGAGGAAAAGTGCAGCTCCCTGGAGGGGGCCCCTGCACTGTGCTGTGCCAGGCTGCCCAGTCCAGGAACAGTGTGAGGCTGATACCCAGCTGTGTGCCCACAGTCAGCCGTGCCAAGAACGTCCAACAGGCCCTGTGGCTGAGAGCTGGGAGAGCAAAATACAAAGATTCCCTCTTTGTCTTCGATCGCCTACTGAAAAAAAGAAGTCTAAAATGCTTCCGACTGCTGGGTGGAGACCAAGTTCCGGGAGTGGTGACACAGAGGGAGAAATCAAAACGAAGAACTGAAAAATCTATTTGGTCACTTGAAGAGTTTTCTCTTTTGGATTCTGGCCAATTCCTCTCTGTCCCTCCCTCCTACCCTCCTTTTACATAAAAGAGCTCCAACTGTGAAGTTTGCATCTCCTCTTTTCTTGAGAACTGAAAGACTCTTGGAGCAGAATGGAGGAGCTAGCTGGCCACTGTTGGGATGGCAGGATTTGGCTGGTGACACACCCAATGGTCTTGTGGCGAGCCCTGTGTGGTAGCCATGGGGATACCTACTTATAAGCCATGGGGAACTGAATGAGACCAGGAAACACATTCAAATGCCAGTGCTGGGCAAACGGACAGGGTGAAAGTGATAGCCTACCTGGACACGGAAAACATGCCTCTAAGACCCTCTTAACGAATGTGTTTTCTGATTACCGCAGAAATGAAGATGACAGAAGTGCTGATAAGGAGCAATGAAGTGAATCACGTAGTTCTGTGATGGGTGTGAGCAAAATTAGACTCAAACTCAGACAAAAACCACAAGTTTCTCAGGCTTCTTCTACCTGAAAGTGCCTAGACCAAGATTCACAGGATGGGAGTGAGGTGCTTGTCCTGGGATTGTAATCATAATGACTACTTCATAAAGACACTATTTATCTTGAATACTGAGAGGGTTCTGTTGGAGTGTCCTTAACCTACGGGCTGCTCTAGTCCCTCGCTTGCCTCCCTCTGGCTCCAGTGAGGTAGAAGTTCATCCACTAAAGGTGTTAGCAGCTAGGAAATGCCCAGTTCAGTAATTACAGATGAAATCCATGAACAGACTCACAGAAACATCTGCAGGTGTACATCACTCTTGTCAAAGGATAGGAATTCCCCTAAGGAAGATTTGTCAAGGCTCATTTCAGTGCAATGCATGATCACAAAAAAACGGAAATAAGTAGGGTAATCACAGGGGATGGACAAAAAATATAGAGCTACGTTATGTTTCTATGCAAACCTTGGAAATAATAATGTGTCAGAGTGGCAGCAGCCTGGAGAGGTGGTCAGGATATGGGTAAGCGAAACAGAGAGCTCCAGATGGGAACCTGGTTACTTGTCTGGCTTCCCTTCTTGCCCCCTACAACCCATCCTCCATGTGGCAGTCAGAGTGATCCCTTTGTAAAAGTCACTCCCAGCCTCACAGTAGTATCCTATCTCATGTGAGAAAAAAATTGCATACTGTACAATCTCTTTGTGTCTTTGTGCTTTTCCACTAAGATGGAAGCCCCGTGCCTGGTCCCTGGTCTCTGGTCTCATCTCCCCTAACTCCCTCTCGCAGGTCTACTCTTCAGCCACACTGAGGGCCATTCTGCTCTTGTTTGAATGCCCACTACTCAGCCCTACCACAGGGCGTCTGCACAGACCTTTCCCGACAGTCTCACACAGCTGGCGACTTCTCAGGTCTCAGCTCAAAAATCACCCTTTCAGAAAGGTGACATCAAATCTCAGACGGCTACTGCGCAGTCAAACTTCACCCCAATGCTCTGATTTGGTTCAGGACAGTTAACATCCTCAGCAACGACTTTTCCCTCCCCAGGATGAAGAAGAGGTGTGGGGAGAAGGGCGGTCAGAGCCTTGCTCTAACCCCCAGTGTACTCATAGAATGTACAACTATGCCAAGCAGACAGCAGAATTTGGTAGGTGGGTGCTGAGTGGCCACGTGAATTATTGATATACATACACACAGAGCAACGCACACATACACATGTACATGGGAAAAGGATGAGCACAGCATGAAAGATCATCTCTGGATAGTGACATTCTGGGTAGCCATAACGTCTCCTCTTCAGTCATACTCATTTTCTACAATAATAAAGCATTCATTTTTTTAAGTTAATGAATCCTGCTTCCCCCAACCCATGTGTACTTTTTAGAGTTGTAGTTAGTCATACCAGGAAAATATTCTCCCAGCTGGCTTGAAGAGAGAAACTCAGGATGCCAGAACTGGGAAAGACCTCGGGTGGTGTTTGGTTCCATTCCATCTCTCATTTCAGAGATGAGGAGGGTGAAGAATGACCACTGGCTTTACCGGAGGAATCCAGTGTGCTTCCCATATTGTCTGTGCACTTGGACCAACTGCAAGGATGCGTGGCCCCACCCCCAGAATGTCTGATTCAGGGTCTGAGAACCTGTATTGCTGATGGTGTGGGGATTAAGGGGCACACTGAGGTTCACTAACAAGGTTCCCTCACATTGCTCCTCATGATCATTTGGTAGGCAAGGCAGTAAAGATGAAAACCACTGTGCAAGACAAACAGTTCAAGTTCATTGGTAACTCCCTTCGGGGCTCCCGCCTGGATGCTCCTCCCAAGAAGGAGGAGAGAGATAGGATGAATGATTTAGAGTGCCAACTCCAGCTCAGACACTGGAATGGACGATCTATATTTCACTTGTTTGCAGAGTCCTTTGCCTAAAGAAATTTCAGCTTGGAGAGATGCTGGAACCTCCCTAAGAGCACACAGTTAAGCTGTGATGGAGCCAGATCTCCAATCCATGGCTCTTTGACTCTAAATTCCCTCCTTTCTTTACAATCTTCAAAATGAAAAGTTGTCACCAGTGGCATTCAGAGTGACAATGCAGAACGGAACATCCCCAAGAGATTTCCATAGGACACTGGGTTCCCAGGGACATGGAGGGGTGTCCATTAACCTTGCCTCTGAGATTACAGGTCATGTTGTCTCATTTCCATGATGTTCAGCACCTTCTGAGCCCTGACCCCCAAGGGACCTGATGACAGGGTTGGGATGGGAGGGTTGGGAGGGAGCGGTGGAGCTGGTACTGGGCTCACTGCTGCAAATCTCCTGTGAAGTCAGTGGGAAAGGGAGAATTTATCAGGGACCTCGGCTCCCAACAAAGAGCAGAATTCACACTCAGTTTGTGGGCAAAGGGCCTTATGGGTTCTTCACTGAACTAAGTTTGAAACTCAAGCCCAAAGGCAGATATAAATTTATCCTTCATAGGTCAAAAACAATCCAAAAACCCTAGTCAAGTGCTCCTTTTCCCATGCACTGCACAGGAAATGCACAAGGAACAAGGAAATTCATGGAACAAGGTCCCATCCCTTCCAATACACACTACCAGTGAGTTACACTATCTCGCATTTCAGTTATGCGGGAACCTGCATTCGAGATAGTTCTGTAAATATTGAGATTGCAAAGGGATGTGGTGATGCATTAACACTACAGCTTTGACTAGAATTCCAATTTATGAATAAGGTCAAACATTAGCGGGCTATTTCAGGAATGACAGAATGTGGTTTTCTGCATCTGTCTCCTTGTGTTTCTTATTCCACATTGTGGTTTTCTTTCACCTGCTTTATTTGCAATCCCTGAAGTAGATGCATGAATGGATTTCACATGACATTGAAAGGAAAGGCTTTCTAAGCAATTCTGGCTAGCCCATCAGAGGGATGAGGATTTCCACCAAGGCAGCTCGTGTGACGGTGTTTGTCCTGTGCCCTCTGGAAGGGGCCTGGCTGCCTCTTTTTTGACATGCTCACTTCCCAGCTGTGACATGTTGCTTGGTAAGGACCAGTTCAAACTGTGATAGGCAGTCAGGTGGGAAGAGGGGACAGGCAGAGTGATGTAAACAAGGACAGGAAGAAGATGCCAGAGCTGGGTATTTGAGAGTATTGAAATTGGGTTCCAACAGTGACCTTGCTCTCAGTATGATCACACATGCAATGAAGCTTTGGAGCGGCTGTCCTCTCCTTGGTGCAGTGGATAAGGGAGGTGGGCCACTCACAGCCTCTTGCCTGTTAATGTCTACAAGAGTTGGCTCTCTCACTGCCAAGGAAAAGCAGTGGATTTTATTTATTACAGAAAGAAAAGAAAGTCTGCACCATCTTGTAGAGCAAAGCATAGTTCTCCAAGCCACTGCATTGCGCTGCAATCAGTTCATACTCAGGCACGTCACGTGCAGAGCGAGCTTGGGTGGTGTGGCAGAAGGATAAGCAACTTCTCTTTTTGTTCCCCACTCCTGCCCTTCGTCAAGGGCTGAAATGATGTTCTGCCTGCACCAGGGGAGGATGTAGCAGGAGCTGCAAAGAAGGTGTCAGCAGCTGTTGCCTAGCTGTCACTGTTTTTATTTTTTTTAACAGCACATACATATATATTTTAAATTTGAAAGTCAAAGTTAGAGATACAGAAGTTTTCTATCTGTTGGTTCACTCTAGAAATGCCACAAAAGCCAGGGCTAGGTTAGGTTGAGGCTGAGAGCCAGGAGCTTTGTTAGGTCTCCCACTTTGGGACAAGGATTTAGGCCATCCTCTATCGCCTTTTCAGGCACAGCAGCAGGGTGTTGGATCATAAGTGGAGCAGATGGCACATGAATTAGTGCCCATATGGGATGCTGGCATTGGAGGTAGCATCTTAACAGGCTATGCCACAACACTGGCTCTACCATTAGTTTTTTTTTTTTTTTTTAATATTTTCATTGGAAAGGCAGACTTACAGAGAGAAGGAGATACAGAGAGAATGATCATCCATCCACCGATTCACTCCCCAAGTGGCCACAATGACTGATACAAAGCCTGTACAAAGATGAGCTGATACAAAGCCAGGAGCCAGGAGTTACTTCTGGGTCTCCCACAAGGGTACTGGGTTCCAAGGCTTTGGGTTGTCCTCTACTGTTTTTGCAGGCCACAAACATGGAGTTGGATGGGAAGTAGAGCAGCCAGGACACAAACCAGCACCTATGTGGGATATTGGTATAAGCATGGTGAAGAAGATTTAGCCGCAGAGCCATCACGCTGGGCCCTCTACCACTAGCTTTAGCCACTGCATCAGCCGGGCCAAAAACTGCTGTTTCATCCCACACTCAGTGGTACTGGGGATGGAGTACCCTGGCTGCATTAGTGCTCATGCTATCTCAATGACCAGCTGCTTGTTCTGCAAGCTTCGATCTATTTTTACAGTGTGGATGGCTGCTCTCGATTCTCACAGATTTCCCAGTGGTTGCCAGCCTGGGGTGGTTTATACACAAGACAAAAGAATGGCTACTTGGCAGATAATACTTTCCAGGCCTTAGGGAGGGCACTCAGCTGGAAAGATCTGCTTTCGCTGGAGATCGGAAGTGCTTTGCCAGCAATTATTTGATCCTTCCTGGGAATTTGTTCTTTTGAACAATCTCCCTGTCTGGTGGGAGTCCATGGTCTCTTATCCTGGTCCCACCGTTACTCACTGATGTCGGAGAAATCATCTAACTCTTTACCTCAGTTGTCTCTGGTGGGACAGGTCTCCCTATCCTGGGTTATGGGGAAGGTTACACAATGTAGTCTCGAAGAAGGTGTGTAGGACGCTTAGGTGACATTTGTTTTGTTTTTCCAATTTGGGGTCCTGCCCTGGTATACTGCAAGGCATGACTTGGTTTTGTTTCTGAGAAATGGGTAGTAATTCCTTCCTAAAGAGAAGGAAAGGCAGAAAGCACAACCTGGGCATATAATCCTGTCTTGCTCTTGCCACCACTTGCAAAGGTAACACCAGGACAGCTGACCTAGAAAACTGCACTATGATCACAAAAATCATTCTGGGGCCACAGCACATTTTGGACCTTTTCAGGGGTTCTCCAAAAGAAGTGACTGTTGCAGCACTGGATGAATGGATGAATCCATCCATCCATCCAGCCAGACAGCCAACTATAGTACTTATAGATCAATACCATCAATACCATGCATCCCAGCAGTGTGGGTAGAATGCAAACAGGCAGTTGCCACCCCCATGGCTGAAGAGCTTCTGGCACATGCGAGACAGAGGTCACGCAGATGACTTGTTCCAACATAATGGCATGTAGGCTCTTCTAGGGAAACACAGCGTTCCAGGGGCTAGGACACCAAAGTGGGAACAGGTTCTCATGGACTGTGTCTGAGCTGGGTCTACAGGAAACGCTGGTGGAGGAGGGGGTGGCGAGGTGCTTTCTGGGTTGGAAGAGAGTACTTATGAGGCAGAGGTTTCAGGACGAACATGCCAGGGAACAGCCAGCCCTGTTTTCCCTGTGCAGAACCGAAGGAATAAACACAGATAAAGAGTCAGGAAGGGTGGATGATAGAAAAAGGAGCAGCTCGTGGAAGGTTCTGAGCAGGTCACATGGGGGAGGAAGATTGCTTGCTAGCAGGAAGGGTAGTCTGGAGGGATAAGGGGGCAAGTGCCAAACTTGAAATTGAATGCAGACATCTGCCAAATAGAACGTCAGCAAGTACCCCAAAGGAGGGCAGCAGAGAGAGGAAGTGATTCAATGGTGTCGTAAGAACTTGCCAGTGTTCAATGACAGGTCTGCATCCATGAGTGCCAAGTCACTCCTTGGAGTGATTTTAACTTGGTTCAGCTGAGAGATAATATCTGGAGGGCATCCAGCAAAACCCATGAGCTCCAGCTGAAAGGATTTCTTGAGCAGAGGCAAGAGGCAGAAGCGCAGGATGAAGGAAGTAAACACCTAAAGTCCTATACTGTATAAATGATTCCCTTAACTGTGCCACTGTCTACAGAAGCATCACAACGGATTCCCAGTGACACGGGCAGAGCATATCCTGTCTCCCAGCACGCAGCTGTCACAGTGCACTAGGAACGCTAGACACGAGTGTGTTTTGATGACTTGAAGAACATTATTTGGGTCAGTGCCTCCCTCTGACACTGCCTGTCCTTTGAAATGAATGAGTCGCATTGACTCCAATATTCTCATTATCACTGGAAGTGATGAGGCTTCACACTTGCCTGCTACAGACAGTGGAAACGGAAAGCTCTCAGCTCTGGCAGGAACCTCATTCCACTCCTATCTACTCTGCTAAAAAAAATGCGCCAGGCTTCCTTATGATTTTTCAGACTATATACACTTGTTTTCTATTTTTCAGAAGTGGCTTACTGTTTGTTGAGCATCAGTTGTGTATCATTTTGTGCTCTACGCTTCTTTTACACCCATCTCTGAGGTGGGCACTGTTCTGATTCCTACTTCAAAGATGAGGAGAATAAAACCCCGTCTCAGTTTCCGCTACCACTCATTACTATTCTGCACGGAGGTTGGGAGATGTGAAAGATGATGCCGGAACAAACAGAAAGCAAAATGACTTTCCTCTTTGATCTTTCTCCTTACATATTTTACCGTCACATTCTGTAATTAGGTCAGAGTGAGAGAGAATGCTGTCGAGAGCTACAGCTGAAGCTGAACATTTATTTCTTAGGAGATTGTTAATTTTGGAGGATGTATTCATTCTGACGGCAGTTACGGTACTAGACATTTCATAAATAAAAGCTAGTTAGGATACTATCCACAGGAAACAGCTGCAGCTGGTGAGAGAACTTGTGACTTTAAGGAAGTGCAGCCCTTCGTGGAATCAGAAGGCAGGAGGAATATATCACACCGTAACACTCTCTGTTTTAGCTGCACCTGTTTTCAGTAGATACACTCATGGTACGGGTCATGCTTGCTCCGCTCTCTGGTTTTCCTGGGAGACAAACATTGTGTAGCAAGAGCAAAAGTTCAAAGACACATGAACTAGTTAGTACTCAGACATTTATGATTTCAAGAGCTAAGGGCCTGTGGCTTGGTGCGTTACTGGGACCTGTTGAGCTGTAAGGTCCTGCACAGACTTCCAGGGTCAGAAAGCACTAACTGTGAGTGGCTGGTTGCAATGGAGATGATATGTCAGCAGATAACATTCAACCAGATTTTAAAGACTTTGTATGACAAAGAAAAAATTAAGCATCTTATGTATAAAAACAATGTTGAAATTATAATGTCTGTAATGTTATCTTAAAATAAATTATTAACATTCCTTCATTTCATCAGTTTCCTTTTGCTTTTTACCATGGCTACAGTAAATGACTCACAGTACCTGCGTTTGTGGCTTACATTATGTCTCTGGGACAGCACAGGTATAGATACTCAGTAACTGAGAATATTAATGCAAGCTGCAGATTTGGTGCATCAGGGTCAAAGTGATGAGCCAGCCACAATGAACTATGTTCCCTAGGAAGTGAATAAAATGACTTCATAGAAGGTGTGTACCCTGCTACCATGATCTGACCTGCTGGTGTTCTGACCCCCAGGCAGCCATTCTGGGCCCTTGACCTCCACACCGTGACTGGAGTCTGCAGCGAATTCATGAAGACTGGTAACAAGTGGGTGGAGATAAATTACAAACAAACGAATAAACCCTTATATTCATTCAGTATTTGCAATCCCAAATGTGGTCAGCTGATTCCCTACCTGTGATGGGTCTTTAAGTCTTCCTGGACTAGACAGCTGAAGTCTGATGGCAACAATAGTCCTATTTCAGATGCACTGGCCAGGCACCACCCTAAGGAAGGATGATGCTTTTGGCCTTGTGTACTCAAATGATAATCTGATGCTTCCCATGTGGAAAAACTGAAGAGCTCCTTAATCCAATAACAACTTATTAAGAGGTGAAAATAAAAGAATCTATCCTCCCTTGGGGAAGGTGGAACAAAATCAGTTACTCTTTTAGGTCAAGTTCTTCCTGTTTCTTTTCATGCTAGAGAGCATCTAATTATCTGCTGGAAGTGATTCTGCATCTCCCACACAATTTACACACTTTTTACGTGATTCTATTTTCTTGTGCTTTCCTTAAAAGGCAAAAAAATTTAAATGTTAATTCAATTATAACTCATAGGGTCAAGCTGTAGCACAATACTGTATAAATAGCATTCACACTCCCATAAATATTTTAAATAAATGTATACTCAATATCTATGTATGGAGATAAACATGTGCCTAAGAAACTGTAGGAACAAATGAGCTAGGAGATGGAAATCTCGCTTTGTGGGAAAGCCTCCAGGAGACTGCTTAGCTTCCTTGAGAAAAATCCATCATTTGCATCCCAGCAAAAGAATTCCATTGTCACATAGGGTTTAAACCTGACACTTGTAACTTTTGACCATGAAGTGACAGTGTGTACAAGTGCTCCTAACACATATATTCATTCTGAAGCCTAGCTTTCTTGACTCCACACTCCTGTGACTTGCTGAAACATAGCTATTGTATTACTACTGAACCTGACCAGCCTTGCCAGTATTGGATGTAACCAAGAAACACTGGTAAGAAAAGAAATCTTAGGAATCCAAGTTTATTCTTTTCTTTACTGTTTTACTTTCTGTTTAGGGCA